CCCGCCGCTCAGACGTATGGGGGCTACCCCTGGAGCGGCTGCGCCGCCCGCCCGGGTCAGCGTGGTGCGCATGCGCGGACCCGGCGCCATTTTGGTGGCCGGGCGCGGAGGTGATTCTACACGGAGGGGGAGCGCGGCGGCCGGGGCGGCAGGGGCAGCAGCGCTCGTGTGCTCGGGTCGGAATCACTGAGGGAGGAGGCGGCGGCGGAAGAGGTGGCGGCGGCGGCGGAGGCGGCGGCGGTGGTGGTCGTAGCGGTGGCGGAGGAGGCGGGTACGAATCAGCTGCGGGCAGAGCCATGGCCAACATCGCGGTGCAGCGGATCAAGCGGGAGTTCAAGGAGGTGCTGAAGAGCGAGGAGGTCAGAAATGATCTACCGGACACCCCCTCGCCCCACCCCACCCCACCCCACCCCCAAGTCGGCCCGGGGCGGGCGGGCGGGGAAGGGGGGCCCCTTCCTCCCGCGACCCCGAGGCCTCGCTGCGGCCGCCGGGGAAGCGGCGGTCTCCCCTCCTCCTGCTCCTGCGCCTGCCGCCTTTCCCTTCCCCTCCCCGGGCCCTGGGCTTAGACGGTCTCGCGGCCCGGCCGGCCTGGGGAGGATCGGGGTTTTGGGGGGCAGATGTCGAGGCGCTGGCCGGGGGGGGACACGTGAGCTCCGGAGGGGAGCCCCCGGGGCGGCGGCAACATCTGGATGTGTGGCTCTGGGGTGGGGACCGAGCCAGGCCGAGGAAAGAAACCCGGGAAGTGGGTTGGGGGAAGGGGAAAGAGAGTAACTAGATCCCCGGCAGCCGCGCACCTCCCAGGCCCCCACTTTTTAAGGGGTACTCCGGGTGTTTATATTGCCTGCCAGGCCTGGGCTGGCTTTTCTTTGAGGAAGGAGCCCAGAGAGTCCTTTAGGTATGGGCTCCCTTACAGTAGAGTGTTGGGGGACCCATGGAGACATAATGGTCAGTATCGTTCTTGGAAGAGGTGTTGAAGCAGTTTACACACTACATATCGGAGATTAATTCCAAGTTAGACAATTATCTCTTTTCCACGTACTCCACCAGTAACTAGGCCTCGTCATTGACATTTAGAGGTTTTTTTTTTTTTTTCCTGGTGAAAGTCAAGTTGCTTGTTACATTAAGTGGTTTGAACTAGGGAAAATAATGAAGTGGATGAGTTGCATATTTCAAAATACTGTTTACCAATATCAGAGTCTCTCCTAGGGCAATGCCTCTGTGACTAGTGTTATGCTGTGAAACTTCATTATGATGTCCCTCGGAGTTAACTTGAGTCTTACTTTTGAAAAGAGGCCCATTACAAATAAGAGATTTCATCAGATACACATTGTTGTAGCTCATTATTGAGTTAGGTTTGTTCTGACACAAAATAGTATACCACGAAATAGCACATTAAAAAATAAGACTCTTGCTGCCCGTGAGTCCTTCAGAATTTAAACATATTAATGCTGGCCATATTTATTTTTTGTGAAATATGGAAAGTAATTTAATAATTTGACTCAGCTGTGTAAGTGACAGTACAATTTTTCAGACCTGAATGAACAAAAATGCCAGATTTTCTGTGATTGAATTTAGCAACAAAATTCTGAAAATAATTATTTTTCTCAAGGTTCACATTCCGTTGTCCAATAAACAGTACTGTTTATGTTTTCCTTATATCTTGGTATTTTGCTAATGTCAGTAACGATTTTTAAAGTTAGGCATTTTAAGTGTGAGTAATTGTTAGAAATCTTGTATCACTCCAGCATTTGTGCCGTCGAGTCTGCAGATAATACTCCATCTTGCCAAGTAGATGTGTAGAAAGTTACTTCAAATTGAAATGACTGTATTAGCAGACTTAGTAAACAGGCTAAGAAATAAGTAGTGATCCGTTTGACATAGCATGAACTCTGACCTCTATTCATTTGCCAAAAACTCTGAATGGAAGGATGACTTTGTATTTTTGTGGAACAATGCAGAACCAGCCTGAGTGTCTGTATTCACATACATTTTAACAGTGATTGTAACTTTTTCTTTAATAAGCAAATGTACTTTGGGGTTGTAGATATGTATTCTTAATGAGAAATAAGAGCTCATTTTGTTGTCAGAGTCTAAAACATTTGTTCTACAATAAGGTTGTACAAGTCTTTAGACTTGTAATGCTTTCTTTTATTTAAGTTATTGCCCTAAAAATCCATATACCCTCTTTGCTTTATGTGATGTGACTTTCTATTTAAGTGATGGGCTGAGGAGATGGCTCCATGGGAAAAGGAGGCTTGTGGCCAAGCCTGACGACCTGAGTTCTGTCCCGAGGACCCACATGGTAGAAGGCTGTCCTTTGACCTCTAGACCCACACATGCAAATAAAATAAAAGCTCATTCCCGTGTATGAGACTAAAAAGAAAAAATTGTCAAGTGTTTCTGAGGAAGGAAAATAGGAAATGTGAACACAAGTTATTCAGGAACAGTGCCTTTGTAAGCCTAGCAGGGAACTTAATCCAGGAAAGTAAACTGCAAAGGATTCTAGGAAAAGAGCAGATAAAATTTAATATTGTAAACTGGACATGGTGGCACATGCTGGCCATTAATCCCAACACTGGGAGGCAGAAGCAGGTGGATCTCTGAGTTCGAGGCCAGCCTGGTCTACAGAATGAGTTCCTGGACAGCCAGGGCAGTTGCACAGAGAAACCCTGTCTCAACCAAAAACATTTAATAATGTAGAAAACCAACAGATAGTTTTATCTTCAACCAATATTTTATTTCATTGACATTTTAGTATGCCCAGTTCCATAGATAGGCTGTATTGATTAATTTTCACCTCAATGAAGGACCCCATAGTGCAGTCTATATATTTTCTTTTCTTTTTTTTCTGGAGCTGAGGACCGAACCCAGGGCCTTGTGCTTGCCAGGCAAGCGCTCTACCACTGAGCTAAATCCCCAACCCCTATATATTTTCTTTTTAAGTATATAAAAATATATATCCAGCAGGGTGGTGGTGGCGCACACCTTTAATCCCAGCACTCTGGAGGCAGAGCCAGGCAGACCTCTGTGAGTTCGAGGCCAACCTGGTCTACAGAGCGAGATCCAGGACAGGAACCAAAGCTACAGAGAGAAACCCTGTCTTGAAAAAACAAACAAGCAAAACAAAAACAGAAAAAATATATATCTGAATAGCTGATCAAGTAATTATTTCAGCATGTGTCCTCTTGTAAATCTCCAGTGTACCAGGTTTCATCCATATGCTAGTGTTTAAGAATTTTGGTTTGATCTAATGACTTATTTTTGGCCTGTTTTTTAAGTACCTTTGTAAAGATAACTCTTGCCAGAGCATACCTTTAATCCCAGCACTGGAGGTGGGTGGACAGAAGCAGGCAGAACTCTGTGAGATATATCCAGTATGACCAGGAATACATAGAGAGATTGTGTCTCCAAAAATACAAAGATAGCTTTCATTGACTGAATTCTGGTCATAGGAATTGGCTGGAAGTGGTTATTTGCTGGGTGTATTATTTAAAATATAAGCCCTTAACATACATGTGAAAGACAGAGTCAGGTACTAAGGAGAGACAATCATGTTTGTGTCAGAAGGGGAGGTTTGTATTTGTATTTTCACAATACAGTGAAAGGATTTATGGGAAATGGTTAAAACTGATTATATATGTTGTGTAGGGGAAGTTGCATGATTGGACATACTATGGACTTTGAGTCATGTGAATGGTACTTAATGAAATAAAGGAAGCATCTATTTTTTATAAAGTACTACTTGGAGATGGGCCTTTTATCAGTTAGATACTTTACAATATGATGGAATTTTAAGTAGTGGTTCAGAGTTGCTCAGAATAGGAAATTTACCTAAAATACATTATAGTTTGTGAGTCAAGTCAGGTGAATTGCCAATTGTGAGGATCAACAGATTAAGCCATGCTTTAGTATATTCATAGGTTGTGTTATTTCTTCTAGTTATTGCAGCTGCCATTTACAGAATGCCTCTTCAGCTGTTGTTTATATATTGCTAATTCTTAGCAACAGGTCTTTGAATTAGATCTCCTATTTTTTAGATGAGAAAATTGAGGTTCAGAGAGTTAAAGTATTGTTTACATGACTTGATTGCAAATGTGGCTTTAGAATTTGGATTTGCTTATGTTACTATGCACTACACTATCATGGCTTGGTAAGAATAGGCATACTTTTAACTTTCGAAATTGGGCCCACATTTTGTTACTTTTTGGGTTTTTTCAAGACAGGGTTTCTCTATGTAGCTTTGGAGTGTGTCCTGGAACTCGCTTTGTAAACCAGGCTGGCCTCGAACTCACAAGAGATCCATCTGCCTCTGCCTCCTGAGTGCTGAGATTAAAGGTGTGCACCACCACTGCTCAGCCATTTTATTACTTGTAATACTTCGTATTACTTGATAAAGCATTTAAGCACTAGTTAATGTTAGTATAAACTCATTAATTGGTACCTATAATTAAAGGTTTACTTGAATTTCTACATAAAATATTTTTAAATTTGAAGTTTAGTGATATAAAATGCCCTTAAATTGGTATATTTATGCTCATGATACCTGTTGTGTTTTTTTTTTTTAATTCTTAACTATAGTTTGCTGATTTTTTTTTTTTCTTTTTTGAAGCAGGGTTTCTCTTTGTAACAGTCCTGGCTGTCTTAGAACTCACTCTCTAGACTAGGCTGGCCCCGAACTCACTGAGATCCGCCTGCCTCTGCCTCCCAAGTGCTGGAATTAAAGGGAATGTTTAAATCTGTGGTATAAGCAAGTTTGTTTCATGAAATTATTGTTGTGTGTTAAGTTTTTCTTTAGTATTTAGTCTTTCATAATTTTAAATTTTATTAAATTTACTATGTAGTTGATCTGGCTTGACCTAAATTATCTTATATGAAAGTAGCTTACAAACTTCTAAACTGTTTTGATTCTGTAGGACATAGTTTCTTTGTTATTTCCTTTTTGATTTCCTTTCCTTTTCTTTTTGTCTTTTTTAAAGACAGGGACTCTCCTCTCTGCAGTTCTGGCTGTTCTTGAACTCACTGCTTAGACCAGGCTGGCCTCAAGTCAGAGCTCCGCCTGCCTCTTACTCCTGAATCCTGGGATGAAAGGCATGTGCCATCATACCTCCATAGGACATAATTTCTTAACTCTGGAATTAATGAACTTTTGAGCAGGTTTTTATCTTTAGGTTAAATTGAGTGGCTTTCCATGTATCATGAGGTGTTTATGAGTATCACCAATGTCTAACATTGGGGCCCTTACTGCTACTAAATCGACTACCCTTGCCAGTAGTGTGAGGTAAATGTCTCTTGACAGCCAGTTGGTAAGACAGACCTGCTATTGGAGACAGAACTCCTTTGAAGAACCTGTAGGACTGTC